CAGGGCTTATACTGAGTTCAATATTGTATAACTGTAGCAATTCAACTGTGAACCTAGAAACTTACAGCCAGTTGTGAAAGAGATGTACTCTTGCTCTGGAGTGTGTTACTGAATATGTTAAAGCTATAATGAAATGCTTCTTCTAATCATGTAGTTATTAAAAATTAAAATAAATAAAATCTACTTCATGTTAAATAGTAGAGGTGCTAAACATTACCAGTGAAATCCACCTGATGACTTTATACCCATACTAAGGTACTAAGGATCCAAGTGTAACTGACTGTGACTGGTAATAATCAGACCTACATAGAGATTAAAGATACATGTGCAAACATGTAAGTGTTAGTAGCATTAAAAATGTAGGAAACAGCGTATCTTAAAATGAAAAGGAGATCTTCTTTGAAGGGTAAAAACTCATTCAATCTTATGTCTTATAGGGTTTATACTGAGTTTAATATTGTATGACTGTATTAATTCAACTGTGAACCTAAAAATTTCCAGCCACCTTTGAAAAAGATATCCTTGCTCTGGAATGTGTTACTATGTTAAAGCTGTAATGAAAAAATAAATAAAATAAAAAATAAAAATAAAGAAAAGAAAAAAGTTTCTTTCCACCCTGTAGAAAAAGTAGTTGTTACCTTACCTGAGCCAATTCTCCTATTGTGGCCAGAACATTATTGATCACACCTGGGTTTGGATCAGGATCTGGATCCTTCAGTTTCAAAATTAAAGCCTATGGAAGAAGGTATGAGAAAAATGCATGCAGATTAGAATCTATTTGAGAGCTTTCTAATCCCAAGAGGGCTGGGGATGTGGCAGCACACTTCCCTAGTACACCAGAGCCCTGGGTTAAATCCCTAGTACCATAAAACAAACACAGTCCAAAGATCCTCTCAGTCATAAACTGCCTCTAAGCTTTATGAATCCAGGATTTCTCTGGATTGCGGATTTCCAAGCTTTTCTCCATGAGTGCTTGCCCCATGTGTGCTCGCTCCATGTGTGCTCTAGGAACACCATGATCTGAATGTGCCCTTTCAACTCTTCCTGTTGATACTGCCTCAGTTTTACATGTTACATATATGTGGAAAACTTCATATGAATATCGTATTCACATTTGAAGCTGTTTCATATTTTATTAGTTTTGTTGTTTTTGAGACAGGGTCTCCCTGTAGCCCCAGCTGTCCTGGATTCATTATGGAGACCAGGCTGGCCTCGAACTCACAGAGATCAGCCTGCCTCTGCCTCCCGAGTGCTGAGATTAAAGGCATGCGCCACTACGTCCAGCTTTAAAAAAATTTTTTATGTGTATCAGTGTTATGCTTGCATGTATATAAATGCACCCATGTCATGCAGTGCCCACGGAGGAAAGAAGAGGGTGCCAGATCCCCTGGAACTAGTGTTCCAGATGCTTGTTAGCTACCATGAGGGTGCTGGGATTTGAACCTAGGTCTTCTGCAAGAACAGCCAGTGCTCTTAACTACTGAGCCAGTCTCTAGCCCCCACATTTTATTTTTTGAAGACTAAAACAAAATTATGCATATGCGTGTTGCTGTATAGGCAACATGCATGTGGGTGCCCATGGATGCTGGGGGGGGGGGTCCTCGGGGTCCCCTGGGGCTAAAGTGACAGGCAATTGTGAACCTAAGTGACATGGGTGCTGGAAACCAAACTCTGATCCTCTGAAAGCACCAAGAACTTAACCATTGAGCAATGTCTCTAGCCCATTTCGTCTTTTTTTTTTTTTTTTTCCTGGTCTTTTTGAAATAGTGTCTCCTGTAGCCCCAGCTGGCCTGGAACTCACTATGTAGACCAGGCTGGCTTGAACTCACAGAGATCCACCTGCCTCTGTGTCCCAAGTGCTGGGACGACAGGCATGCACCACCACACCTGGCTCCATTTTGTATTTTAAAACTTGTTTTTCTTCATTTTGATCAACACTCCACATTTGATCACAAGCTGAAGCACGTCTTATAAGAAAGCTTTTTTACAACTGGGAAAATTCTTGGTACTCCTTAACTCAAGGTGCTATATGTGGCCCTTGTTTCCAAACGTGGACCAAAGAAATTATCTACTTTGTTCAATGTACCAGTAAGCAATGAAACACTCCCATCTCTTAAACACAGAGAAAAGACAGGAGAGAAGTGCCAGTCTGGCTATCTGTTATGTGTTACCTTCAGAATAGGCTCCATATAGGGGCGGATGAGTCGGGGGGCATTGGAGACGAGGTGCCCCAGCATGCGGGCACTCTGCTCCTTGATTCTCCCAATGCCACTGTGCTCCAGCTCTGTCAAAATCTGTAAGGAAGAAAGGCTTTCTATGGCAAAGGACCCTACAGAGAGAACTGTGTGTCAGAGGAAAAAAGTGTCAGGGCACTAGGGAAAAGAACCAGACTTCCACAGCGGATTAAGTCTCAGCTAGATATTTAACAGAAAAGGGCATCTCTATAGCTAACAGAACGGCTACAACTGACTGGAAGAAAAAGGGCTTGAAATAGTCCTCTCTCCCACAGCAGGGCAAGATCCTGCAACACTGGCAGAAGCACTATGGTTGTAGAGAGCTGTGATCAGGGCTTTCCAGACAACAGAATTAAAGGGAGGGGTCTTTGGGAGGAAAAAATCAGACATAAAATTACCAAGAGGATCTACAAATCATGACAAAGGTATCAAAGAGGTATTTAGAACAGCTATCAAGTGAAAGAAACATGGATCTTTCATAATCTGGGCACATCTAGATAAACCGAGTGTGCTAGGAATCCCATCTAGAGGGTCCCTTTAAGCCTCACTGAATAGGTGTGTTCTAACATCCTTAGAACACTAGCTCATCAGGACACTATGCTCTCTGTCAAGTAGCACAGACAGCTTAATATGGACAGACTTCTGGATAGTTAAAGGTGCAAGAAGGAAATTTAAGTGGTGAGGAATCTAAACACTATAAAGGTCAGGTTAACTCAGCTACCCAGAGGAAGGATCTATAGTAAAATAGTGTATTTTGTCTTAGATACCAATTTAGTAACTCTGATTTTCTGTATCCTTTTGACAGCCTGTTCTTTCCAGTCAAAAAAGACATCAGTAAAAGGAGTTAGAGAGAGATACAAGAACAGATCTTCAGTGGGAGGCTAACTTGTTGCAGAGATTTATGTTCCAGAGAGCAGAGCATAAGTATCAGGGGTAGTGCAGGCCAGACCAGACCAGAGCCTTGTTGTACAAGTCACAACCAGCAGTGCCCCAGTGACCAAGGCCTCAGGGAAAGGCCAAGTCTTCACCAATACACGAGAATATGCAATTCAGATTGGGACAATCTATATCAAAACTAACCTCCCACCCCCAACTTTGGAGTTTCTAGGCTAGGGGGCCTAACATACTTTAGACCCTGATTTACAATCCCCTGCAAAGCCTAATAATAATCTTTCTATTAGTTTTAATGGTTAAACTCAACACATTCATCTACTGAAGCTTCACATTCTCCAATATCAGGAAAAGGTAAGTACAGCATAGAAGCTGGTGGACAGGAAATGATGGGGTGAGCCACATGGAGCTCCAGATGAGGCAGGTAGAAAGAGGGAGGCAGGAAGGCTGGGCCAGGCATTCTCACAAAGAGGCCAAAGAACTAACTTGGGTAGGTGAAGAGAAAAATCAAGGATCCAGGTTTCCGTAACAATGAAATTCTATCAGATCAAGCGGCAAGGCCAACCCGAATCTCCTTTAGAGTAGCAGGACATCTCACATGACTTATGAATGACAGCCAGGGACCCCAGACCAAGGGCATGACCACAGGAAAATAAACCCATGCCTACATGCTAAGAACAATGACCTCTGTACTTGGTCTAGTATCAACAAGGAAAGTAGGCCAGAAACAAGGCAGGGAAGTGCCAGGAGACTGAACACCATGGTAAATGGAGTGAGGACATGAAGAAGGCCAAGAGATGGAACTGTTAGTGACTGACCACAAAGACATATGAGCTGCAGGAGAGGTTAGCCTGGAACCGAGAAGCACCTTGCCGCGATACTGACAGGAGGTGGGAAATGTGCTCTCCTGGAGCCATGTTACGATTTAGTAACCGATTTTTCCTAGAAGATGTGTGCACTCTTGCAGCTTGTTCAGGGACCTCAATCTTCTTCCCCCTCCCTGTCCTTAGCTCTTCCTTCCCAAGCTCTCATAGTAGAGATCCTCTCCTTGCTGTCACCTCATTACCTGGATGAGCATCTTGCGCAGGAAAGGCATTACGAAGGCCGGGTTCATGCTACTGAGTCGGCCCACAGTGCAGATGGCCAGTTCTCGGATCTCAAAGACCTGGTCGTTCAGGGCCACAAAGAGAGCTTGCAAATTCTCTGCCTGGGCCAGGTGGGCATCAAAGCGTTCGTCCAGAGATGCCAAGACACAGTAGCGGATATCGGGGTCTGTGAGAACAAATGAGTCTTAAGACTTCTTCATGGTCCATCCTTCCCTTCCCAGTTTCTACCTCCACTGCTATCAGCCCAGTGGGAGCGCTCCAAACACTTTCATTGTCTGGCCTGCTTTCTGACCTCCTCATAGAGTAAAGGGAAAAGAAACAAAAATAGATTATCTTATACCAACAGACTGAGGAATCAAGCCCAATGCCTTAGCAAAGAAAGAGCTAAATATAAGCTGATTGAGCTGATGATGTCTAGGGAGGCCACATAATCAAACTGGCTACTTCCAACCACACCAAGCTCCAGGATCCCCGAGACTGCTTCTGTCCTAAGATTTACCAGGATCTGTTATCCCAACCACAAGTAGTTTGCTGAGCACATCTGCTACTACTTGCACAGCAGTCTGGCTAACCACATGGGCATGGCCGCTGATGAGGTGGATGGAGGGCGTGAGCAGGCGGGAGCAGGTGCGGGCAGCTTCCATGCGGATCTCCTTATGCTCACTGTTCAGGAAATGATCCGCACAGTGGCGGACAAACTGGGTCAGAGAGTGGCCTGGGTACAAAGAAAAAGGAGAGAGGAATGAACACTGTTGCTCTGGGCAGGTGGGTCTCCAGTGTACTAGTGGCATTTTTTTATCTGGGGTTCAACACTAATGTTGATTTTCAACATTAAGATACCACCTCAGAGCCAGGCCTGGTGGCACACACCTGTAATCTCGGGTCTTGTCTTGGCTACACAGGGAGTTCAAGGATGGTCTGGGCTACATGAGACCATGCCAACAAAACACGACAAAACACAAAAACCACAACACAACACACCACACACAACACAAAACAAAACTGACTTAGAGTTCTTCAAGGGTCACACGAGATTCCAATAAGCAGAAAGGTAGAAGGAAGTGTTGGAAGGAGGGACCCAGAAAAACACTAGTTCCACCTCTGCCTTTTTATATTCCTTCCAAAGAATAAATTACTTTGTTTTATTTAGACTCAAACTCTTCCAGTTCCAGAGAGGAAAATAATTCTTGTCTATTTTCATTCCCAAATTTAAATACCCAAAAGAGAGTCTGATGTAGGCTGGGTTGAAACATGGCTATTTTCTATTAACTGGAAATGAACTACAGTGGGTATTCAGCAATGAAGCAGAGGCACTGTGATATGGGAGAGGGGCTCCACAGATAGCTGGCTGCAGTCTCCAGACAGCAGGCTGAGGTCTGGGGCTTGCTTGTTTCTCTGCAGGTTCCACCTGCTTTACTTACAGAGCTTGTTTCAAAAGTCTCCATTTTCCCCCTGAAACATATTTCCCTGGGCATCAATGTGGATTTCTCTGCAGCTCAGAATTCTAAACAGTTCAGCACTCCTGTACACCACACCATCACAGGAATGCAAGCATCTAGAAAACCTTGTCACACATTTTAAGCATTAAATGATCTCTTGGCTGCAGGGAAGTGGGAAGGGGAAGAGTAGCGGAGTGCCGTCCCTCAGTCTCCCACTTGCGAAGCATTACTTTCATGGAGCAATGTATGCTTTTCCTGAACACCACCTGCCCTCAAACATAGTATGGAACGAAGTAGAGGGTAGGGATTAACTAAGAGCCTGGGAAGGAGGAGCTTCTACAGAATTGATGCACTGTTTCTAAGACTTCAGTAAGATCTAGGAAGTATAGATACCGTCTTAGGTCCCCAGCATCACTCACCAGTTTAGCAAGAGCCATTGTAATTTCTTACCTTCAAATTCAAAGCTGCCAAGGGTTCGGAGGGCAAGGGTAATACTGGCCACATCACTGGCCTCAGGGAGAGTGTTGAGGCCAGGGGAGGCTAGCTGATGGGCCAGGCCCTTGGGCATGCCTGGGTGCCGGAGGGGTTTGTGCATAAGGACCAGGGACAGCATCTTCAGGAGCCCATCCTGGATGTCCTTCTTCAGCTGTGGAATCTGTCGGCTCAGGTCGTAGAGCACGGCAGTGAGCGCAGGGCTGAGGAGAAGGAATCTCAGTTACTACACTGTGTGTTCTGGGGAAGAAACAGCTCCTCTCACTTAGCCATTTAAAAAATATATACATTTTATTTATTATTTTTATTTTATGTGTATGAGTGTATTGCCTGCATGTATGTGGGTGCACCCATGTCATGCAATGCCTCGGAGGTCAGAAGATGGCATCAGATTCGCCTCGAACTGGAGTTAAGGATGGTTTAGAGCCACCATGTGGGTGCTGGAAATCAAACCTGGGTCCTCTGCAAGAGCAGTCAGTGCTCTTAACCTCTGAGCCATCTTTCCAGCCCTTCTCTTGCTTAGTCTTTAAAGTGCCTCATCTTGGATTTCAGAACAATCCATTTCTGGTTTTTACCACAAGGGAACTTACAAAATATAATTCAGCCACTAGAGAAGATTGAGTCTTGGTCAACCATCAGAAGCAGATCAAGAGCATCATCTTATCTTTTGGCTGAACAGAACTAAAGTTTAGAAAGGTTAACCAACTTGCCCAATGACAGATAACAGTAGTCGCACACATCTACTGAGCACTTCCTGTACGCCAGACCTTGTGCTAAGTGGCTATTTCATGAACTCTTTCGCTTAGGCTTACAACCATCCTAGACAGCATGAACTGTCGTTTTCAGATCTGAGACCGAGACTCGGAGAAGTAACTGCATCAAGATCACATAGGAGCTAGTGAGGAAAACTAGGATTGTAACTGGCCTACCCACAGTCTGAGGTAGTCTGCCTATTCAACTCTGTACACAAACAACCCTCCTCTCTTTTCTAAGCTGGACCATCACTGGGGTAGCTACAGGTGTCTGTCACATACCTCAGACCCACTGCCAGCATAGGCTCCAACAGCTCCTTGATGTCCTGCTGGATACCCGGGCCCATGGCTCGGGCCAGCATACTGATGCATGTGAACACTGTGGCATCCACCTGCATCGTTTTCTGCCTCCTGCAAAGAAACAGAGTGGCCAGTTTAGATATAAAGACATTCCATAATGTCCCACCTCAAAATCCCCTTGGGGCAAGGAGGGCATGCTATTTAGGCAGGGCCCACCACAAGTGAGTGTGGAATTATCTACCACACAATTCCACAGGAACCATCCCAGAGTCACTGTAGATGTATGTATTTACAATAACACTCCAGTAGATGGCAGTAATGTGTCTTAAGGGAAGGGACCCCTTTTCTGAATTCAGGCAGAGGCACCACACCCATGAGTGTGGGGCTGACCAAGGTACCTATTTAGGAAGCAACGTGCTCATCAGGAACCAGAGGGCAATGCATGGGCATCCTATGGAAAGAAACTTCTCCCTATGATGAGAATGCCAGGCTTCAGGATGAGTGGGCTTCCTGACCCATCAGAGCAATCCTTGCTAATAAACACACAGGGAAACGAAGGCCTAACTCCATTTACACACTCCCCAGCTTTAATCAAGACACATTGGCCTCTCCATTCGGCAGTACACTGAAGGGTTTTTCTCATATTTGATTCATTTAATTCACTGGGAGTCTGAAAGAGGCAGAACAACCTCTTGAGCTTTAGAGAAGGAAAAAGAAGACTATTGGGTCTCTCCAGTCCCAGGCAGGAACTCTTCCATAAGTCTTCTATCAACATACAATTTTTAATTTTGGAGACAGGCTGGCCTTGAACTCATAGAACTCTACCTGCTTCTGTCTCTAGAGTACTGGGATTAAAGGTTGTGTACCATGATGCTTGATCTGAATTTTTTAAAGATTTATTTATTTTATATGCATTATGTGAGTGCCTGCATGTATGTACATGTACCACATATGCACCTAGTGCCTGTGGAGGCTAGAAGAGGGTATCAGATCCCTTGGGACTGTGATTACAGGTGACTATGAGCTACCACGTGGGGTGCTGGGATCCAAACCAAGGTCCTCAACAAGAACAGCAAGTGTTTTTAACATCTGACCCATCCCTCCAGCTTTCTTAACCAAGATTTTTAAATGACAAAGAAAAGAGGCAAAGTAGAGCATTTACTAGCTAGCAACCAACATGTTCTACAGGTATTCCACCTTCCTAAACATTTACACGGTCTTCAAACCTAGAAGGAACTCAACTGAGGAGGGCCTGCCCTTCATCTGTCACATCTTACAGTGCAATGATTCGTGGAGTGGGTTTAAGCTCCATGGAACTGGGGTGGACTATGCTTAATCTCCAACCAAACGGCATGCAGGGTAAAATCATAACAGAGATGCTTACTTGTGGGCAAAGTCCTTTGGGGGCAGGGCTGCTCGGATGATGTCCAGCACACGAGGTAAGTAGACCTTAAACTCGGACCTCACAGCCACAGAAAGCAGCCCCAGGGCCTGGAATGCTGCTGTCCGTTCCTTCTCCTTCTTGACACAGCTCAGGACATGGTTCATGGCATCTTGGAGGTACTGGGTATCTAAGTACAGAAAACATAGTGCATGGCTCAAGGTCAGAGCTGGTCTGTATACCAAGGGTCAGAGTTCCTATACAGTACTTAACTTACATCTTTTGGAAATATATTGGTTTTTTCTCTTTAATAAAAAAAAGCAAAAGGGGAGGATCTCCAAAGGAGTATCATATAGTTTCTATTAGTATAATTCTTTTTAAAAAGTACTTTTATTTCTGTGTATATGCATGTAGAAGTCAGAGAACAATTTTTAGTTGTTGGTTCTCTCTACTAAGTGGGTACCAGAGATGGAACTTGAGTCACCAGGCTTGGTGGTGAGCACCTGAACCTGCTGAGCCATCTTGCCAGCCCCACCATTAGTATTATGTACTCATGTTCAAAAACTGTTAAATCTTATTTAAAAACAGAGATTATCAAAATTATAACATTTAAAGTAATACTGCTTACAATTAATGGGCCATTCCATTTGGTCTAGGCCTGGAAATCACTCAGCTATTACCTGGGGATTTTTACTATAGCTATATTTAATAGAAAGAGACTTTGTAATTTGAAAGCCACATGTGCATTTTCATTAAGTTTGCAGTAGCCAATATATAAGAATAGGTGGTTCTTGGGTACTTTAAGCTGAAATGCTTTTCTTCTGAAAGGGATTTCCTGATTCTTGCTGTTTTCTGCCACTGATGCTGGCCCTGGGTCTGTGCTCCAGTAGCACATTTATAACGGCACAAAGACGCTATGTCCACTCGGAAGGCAGGGGTGTGGAGGGCTACCAGACCATACTTAGTGAACCAGACTCCTAAACAGCACACATATATTGCTAAATTGACTCCAACATGAGATGTTTCCACTGTTCTATAGTCAGATGGCAAGGAAGCATGCTGGGGTTTGAAAATAGGGAGACCCACTGATCTAACCCTAAAACTGAACCAAAAAAGGGGACAAGTCCTTTCCCTATGGTGCAGTGTTTCAGGAAATGAGCTCTGGTCATGACTGACTTTCCTTCTTCACTGAGATGAGAAGGCTGACAATGAAGAGTTTCCATCCAGGTCTTCAGGTAAATGTATGTATGTATGTATGTATGTATGTATGTATGTACGTATGTATGAATTTATTTATTTATTTATTATTTATTTATTTGTTGATGCACAGCTTGTATTTTAATTTTTTTTTTTTGGTCTTTTGAGACAGGGTCTCCCTGTAGCTCCAGCTGGCCTGGATTCGTTATAGAGACCAGGCTGGCCTTGAACTCACAGAGATCCGCCTGCCTCTGCCTCCCAAGTGCTGGGATTAAAGGTGTGCGCCACCACACCCAGCTTTAAATTTTATTTTTAGGGTATTACTATATATATATTTTTTACCTCTTGAGTGTTTTGCCTGCATGTATGTAACCACCTGTGTTGTGCAAGCCTTCGAAGGCCAGAGGAGGGTGTTGTATACTCTGGAACTGGAGTTAGGAATGGTTGTTAGCCGACATATGAACACTGGGAATCGAACCCAGGTCTTTTGCAAGAGCAGCCACTGCTCTTAATTGAGCCATTTCTCCGCCCCCATTTAGGGTATTTTCAATATTCTGAACCAAACTTTTACCATTGGGAAATTCAAGCAGTGACTTCCATACTATGAGCTTTAAATAAGCAGCACTTCAGCATGGAGAAGCACAATTAGGGGTGCTCAGAATGACATATTCTAGTATACTGTTTAACCAAACAACAAACCTACATCAAAAGAATACAAAGGCTCTGTCTTTGTACCCTGCTAGGCAGCCCTCTGCACACAGCATGGTAACTGTTTCTACAGTATGCTAGGCTTTGATCAGATTTGGCCTAGTTATTAGTTTCTTTTGAACTACAGACTTTCAATCCAAGACCATTTAAAGCTCTACTGATCAGGGCCATGTCTGGTCATTAGGAAAGAGAAGAGCTGCTGGGTACCAGGCAGGAATGATAGAAAATTTAAAAAATTATGGATGATTTTCATTTTGTCATTTCTCTCTGGTTCAGCAGGTTTATGTGACTGTCTTGTCCTTATCCAATACGTTCTACTTCTTAGAACCAGTCTGTTCAACACCTCATAATCTAGGCCTCTCCCATAGTTTCATCTGGCCTGCATGGCATTAGATAATCTGTGCGGGGAACAGTAGCTGCTGAGGTTCAGGCTGGCCCTCCCCTTATGACCCTGGCTGTCATCTAGTTCTGAGCACTTGCTAAACACAGGCAGCATGCTCCACAGCAAAGCACAGAGATGTTTGAGATAAGGTCTCACTCTCATCAAGGAGGCAAGGCAGGGCATTGAACAACTGAAGTATCATCATCATGTGTACCTCGTCGTCTCCAAAATGGATCTGAAGTAGCTGGAGGAGACAGTGATAGCACAATAATGGTTTCTACTTACTGGGGCTCACTCTATGCCAGGCACCACAGAAGGTGCTAGGTGTTCATGCCATTCACCTTGGGAGGCAGAGATTATTATTCTAATTTTTTTGCGGGGGGTCTTTTTGAGACAGGGTCTCCCTGTAGCCCCAGCTGCCCTGGAACTCACTTTGTAGACCAGACTGGCCTTGAACTCACAGAGATCGGCCTGCCTCTGCCTCCCGAGTGCTGGGATTAAAGGTGTGCGCCACCATGCCCGGCTTATTATTCTAATTTTACAAGTCATGAAGTGGAGGCCCACAAAGGTCACAGCTACTGACTGAAGCAGGGTTCCCTCCAGGTTTGACACTAAAGCTTCCTACAGCATTGGGCTATAATGGAAAAAGGAACTAATGTTGGCAGCTAGAACAATTGGAACAGCCTTCATGGAAAGTCTGCATCTGAGCAGGGTAGATTCTGTAGTCAAAAATTCACACTGAGCACTGGGGACAGTATAGGAAAATGGGAACCCATCGTCCATCATCTGTGAAGCCTGTCTTCATAAGCATCCACTCCTTACTTCCTGCAAGTAGTAAAGATGCTCCGTGATCACTATGGGGGGAAAAGCAGGCCACCAGACCCTCCCTGCCTTAGACAGGTGCTGCTGCACAGTATGGACCTGAAAATGCCCTTCCTTTGGTCTTATCTGAGGTCCAGACTGGCCCTGAGCTTTCAATGATTCTCCCACTGTAGTCTCTAAATGACTATGATTACAGGTGTAAGACATCACAACCAGCACATGAAACTGTCAACTTTCATACATGAGAACTTGACCAAGAACTGCCCGTCCACTATGCACTTTTTGTTTTTCCTACAGTTTTTTGAGTCCATGCAGGCCTCAAATTTGCTATGTGCCCAAGGATGACGCTGAACTCCTGACCTTTCTGCCCTGACCTCCAAGCACTGGAATGACAAGAGTGCAGCACCATGCCTGGCTCTTGTCTGCACATTTTGATTGTTACTAGAATGGGACATGAGGCAAGGCAACCAGAGGCCAGTCCCTCTGTCTGTGCTGCTTCCAGTGAGAAGCCCAACTTTCCAGAATCAGCGCTTCTCTGTATGGTGAGGGGGAGCAACGCTTTCCACGGCCATCCTCACCTGTGAAGGCAGAAGGTCGGAACGCAGCCAAGCGGGGCAACAAATTAAGGATTGTCATTTGGATCAGCGAGTTCTTGCTGCTCCTGCATTTCAGCACCCACTGGCACACCTGAGAGAGGAAGCATAAAGGGTTGGCAGAGGGAAGGGAAGCATGGACTTGGGAGGAGGAGGAAAGAGCCTCTTGCCACTTACCTGATCAAACTTCTCCTCCATCAAGTCTCTACAACACCGGCTCTCCACCAGAGTGGACTTAGCAGGGCTGGGGGAAGCTCCGAATCCCATGAGGCCTTGGTGAGAGCTATACCCCAGCAGTCCTACCAAGGCATTTGACTGCTGGGGCTGGACGGCCTGGAAACTGGTGAAGGGGGTAATGTGGCGCGGCTTTGTCCCAAAGCCCATGAGGTCTCTGCAGTACTTGTCGTGGACCAGCTGCTGCTGGGTGATTTCTTCCATTTCTTCTCTCAGACGCTACACGTGTGCAAGGAAGAAAAAAACCAGTCACCTTTGCTTCTGCCTGGCTTTCAACTTGTGCACTGTGCAGTCTGCAGAGCAAGGTACTGGCCCACACCTGAGCAGTCAGCACTTCCTTACTTAGTAGAGGGGCCACACTTCATCTGGATTACCATTTCCCCACGGCCTTGCAGGGAACCTAATGTTCTAATGGAGGCAGAAGAGCACTACCTACTGAGCAAGGAAGAAAACCTCAGGGGGCTGCCTGCCTGAAGCTCCTACCTCCAAGTATTCCCTGCCAGGTTCAGGAAGGCTAATGGGAAATCTGGAGTGACTATAGGCTTTTGCAAAGGGGAGAGGAGGGTAACCTCATGCCAGCATCCTGCTAAGGATATTCAGGTCTCTTTCTCCTCCCCTGAAACTGAGGTAGAAACTCAGGCCAATCATCTTCTCAGAATCCTAGTCCAGAGGAATTGAGAGTGCCTGACAACTCAGGCTCTGACAGTTCCCAATGCTGCTTAGCACTGATTTTCACTTTTTAGAAAGTCTGCTCACTTTTATCTGGTCACTGATGGCTCTTTACTGCCAAAGCAAAGGACAAAGTCTTCGCCCTCATCCTGTGACGCTTATCTACAGCATCTGATACAACTGTGAGCTCTCCCACGAGCTTTCTTTGCTTGTTTGCTGAGGCCCACACTCTCCGGCCTCTCCTCCTCCCTGGCTGCTCCTGTGTCTCCCCATTCCTCATCTCCCAACTTCGGGTTCACAGACCACATCTCTTCCCAGCTCCCCTAGCTCTTCTGTGCTTCTCCCTGTCTCATGGCTTGAACTACATGTATATGCTACAAACCCACACTTGCTTCTCTGTCTAGATCACTCCCCAAAATACTCAGTATCTCACCCCAATGCCCAAGAGGCATCTTAAATATGCTCAAAACCAAGCATAACCCCCCCCACCCCCATCCTCTTCCCCAATCTCAGCACATAGCAACTCCAGCCTTCCGGTTACAGAGCCAAATGCTTTGACTTTTCTTCTTTCCATCCACCTCCAAGTTACCACAAACCCCCAATGCAGATCCAGCCACTTCTGGTACTTCCATAGCTCTCTCTCAGAGAGTGGCTGGAATCCCCTGCTAAGGCTGCTGCAGTCCCCCCACCCCCTTAAATCTTTAAATTACATTTTATTTATTTTGTATGTGTGGAGGTCAGAGGTCAACATGTGCGAGCTGGTTCCCTCTTTCCACCATGTGAGTTGTTGGGAATCACACCGAGGTTGTTGCCGGGCGTGGTAGTGCACGCCTTTAACCCCAGAGGCAGGCAGATCTATGTGACTTCAAGGCCAACCTGGTCTACCTAGGGAGTTCCAGGCTAGCTGGGGCTACACCGAGACACTGTCTCAAAAAGACCAGAAAAAAAATAAAAGAAAAGAAAAAACTTCAGGTTGTCTGTCAGGCTCAACACCAGGTGCTTCTGCCCACTGAGCATCTCATCGGCCCTACATAGTTCACTCTCAACTGGACTCCTACCTTCAGTCCTTGACCCTCTGATAATCCATTAACACAGTGGCTCAAGTGATCATTTCAAAAGAGGGTCAAAAGTCACTCATAGGGCCTAAGGAGGTGGATTAGTCAGTAAATACAAGCACAAGGACAGAAGTTCAGATGCCTACCATCCATATAAAAAGCCTGGCCTGGTGGCACATGCCTATGCATCCAGTGCTGGGGAGGCAAAGACAGGAGGATCCTTGGGGCTCACTGGCAGCTACTCTTGCTAAATTGTTGAGCTCCAGGTTCAGTGAGAAACCCTATTTCAAAAAGTAAGATGGAGCCGAGTGTGGTGATGCACGCCTTCAGTCTCAACACTTGAGAGGCAGAGACAGGTGGATATCTGTGAGATCGAGGCCAGTCTCATCTACATATCGAGTTCCAGGCCAGCTGAGGCTACAGGGAGACATTGTCTCAAACAAAACAAAACCAAAAAACAAAACAAAACAAAAATAATAAACAGAGTGTGATAGAGGAAGGCACCCACCAGTGACTTCTGGCTTCCACACGCCCATAAACACACACATACAAGTGAATAAAAGTTGTTTTTTTTTTAAAGTTGCTCTTCTGTTCAAAATCTTCCCACAGTGTTCCACGCACACAAAGGCCATTCAGTGGCCTCCTAGACCCCAAGTGACATCTCCCCACCTGGCCCAGGGCTCACTCCTGCTCAGTCTGCTCAGGCATGGGGCATTCTCACTGCTTTTGTGCCTCAGCAGCAGCTCCTGCCCTGTCAGCTGCCTGGAATGTGTTTCCCAGACCCTGGGGTGGCTTTCTGTTTACCTTCATGACACTCAGACGCCTCCTGAGCACTCTTTACTGCACTTCCCTGCTCTACTGCGCTCTACAGCGCTTACCACCATGCAACTTATCACAGTATACTTTTACCTACTTGGGCACTACTTCCCCTGCTAGAACTTAACCAGCTTTGTTCACTGCTGCATTGCTACCTCTTAGGGTTCATGTGGCTGGTACACAGTAGGTGCTCCATTAATATGTGCTGAACAAGGGAACAAAGAGTGAAATTCCTATAATTCACAAAGTTCCTCCATGAGACCCACCTCACTTCACTCTACAACCTTCCATGTTAGGTGACATCATCTTGTTTTACTAGGAGGAAACAGTGGCCCTAGAGCTGTCTGCACTATAGTGGGAAATTTCAGGGTGCTACCATTTATGCCATGCCCACCCATATCGGTGCTGTGCTGGGCACTCTACACATACTTAGAAACCTCACAAGTCCAACAAGGTGGGGAAGAGCCTCTGTTCAAAGGGAGGAAAATGGGACTGAAGGATTCAGTGCCTTGTCTGAATCACATTATTCAGAGAGAGGTGCCAAATGACCCCTAGTGCTCCATTTTTGCCCTGACATATAGGGCACAGCCATTACCAATCAACTACTGTGCCCAATAAAGCAAGGAACCCTGGGGTGAAATTCCACACCAAGAGATCCTCACGGGAAGTCTCACAGATGAAGCTCTATACTCAAAATATCCCAACTTGAACCTTCTCAGTATTTGCACTGTCATGCCTAGCTGAAGCCACCCAGATTACTGCAGGAACCTCCCATGGCAGCTAAGAACACAATTCCAACAGCAAGGAGCCTAACTGATCAAAAGCCCCTGTGCTACTGGGAGGTCACTACCAAGTCTGTGCCATGGCCACAAGGGCTGCTCAGGGCTAATGACAGAGCACAGCAAGAACACTTCAGCAGGCCTGCTCTTGGGTGACATGGCCTCCCTGGTGGCCAGCTTTCATTTGAGAACCTCATGATAGCCTTGCACAAAAGCTAGGAGGCTTCCAGCCAACGCTTCTTCCCTCTCTTTTTCATTGGGGCAGACATGGACACGGCCCCTCCTGTCTTTTCTCACAGGCTACGGAATACTTGCACTTTTTAACTGTCTTCCTAAGGTAACACCTCCTAACCTCCTGATTTCATTCCCACCTTTCCATATACTTGTTTACATAAGCAGCTAGTGGTGTCAGAAATTCATGACACCACACCATTCCCCTGAGTGCACACCTCCACATCTGTGCCTGCAGTCAGAATACTGTTTACGAGGAACAGTAAGGCCTATTAACTTGACCCTTGCTCCCCTTCTGACACCATCTCCTCCCTCCACACTCACCATACACCAGTCGCCCTCCCCATCTTTGTGTTTAATTGGTGTGTCAAACTTCCACCTCAAAGCCTTTGCCTACAACACAGATCCTGGCCAGTTGCAAGGGAGCTCTTTTGTGTCCTGGGCCTGTGGCTCATACTCTGACAGCACCACCTAAGAGAGAGCCTTTCACGCACCTGCACTCACCCAACCCACTACCCTTAACTTGCTGCCTGTTTCACACTCTTCCCAGGACTTGCTGCTATCTGAAATTATCTGACTTATTATTTGCTCCCTCTAGGGTAAAACATCATGAAGACAAGGGCCTCACTATGCCTGTTCACAGAACAGTGCACGAGAGCCTCGGCTCCCCAGATGCAGTTTCTCACCTCTCCCTCCATGCTGCTGATGCGGACCAGCTCGTTGAGGATCAGTAAGGCCCCATGAATTCGATCATCCCGGTTCATGCCCTTCTCCTTGGCCAGCGTCTCATCAAACCCTTTCTCTGCTTCTTCAAATGTGTGCTAAGTAGAAAGAATGCTTTGATTACCCAATATTCAAGTGAGAAAACACAGGGCCACTCCTATCCGAAGGTTCTGAAGCATTCCAGTGGCTGCTTGGTAATTTGTGCCAGCATCAATACTGACTTACACACCTTGCTTTAACAGACCTTTAAGTAGATGTCACTGTCACCCCTATTTGAAAGGTAAATAACAACAGGCCCAAAGAAATTAAATGACTTGTCCAAGGCTACACAGCAAAGGGAAGAAGGGCATCCAGGTCTCCAGATCCCATGTCTAGGGCGCCTTTGATTATGTGTACTTCCTCAGCAGCAGCCATCAGCACAGGACTCATGACACTGGAGAAGAAGGAACTGGCACTTTCCAAATTAGCATCAACCATACTGCTAAGAACCACTGATTCAGACACCCATTGTTCCATATTTTAACATCTCTGAAGGGAGGTGTCTTCTAACTGTTGAGAAGAAGGCAGTGAGTACTAGATGTTGTTTTGGATTTGTTTTGAGGCAGTGTTTCATTACATAACCCAGACTGGCCTTGAATTCTTTCTTATTTTTGTTTTTTGTTTGTTTGTTTTTCACAGACTTAATCTTGGCTGTTTAATTATACCCTGAAATGATGATGAGGGGGGCGCTGCTGGCAAAACTGCAATCACCAAACTTTAAAAGATGCAGTGCAGGGGATGAGGATATAGCTCATTTGGTACAGTGTTTGCCTAACATGCATGAAGCTCTGGGTTTGATCCCCAGCATGGAATAAAACTGGGCACAGTGGAACATCCCTGTAATCCTAGCACTTAGGAGCTAGCGACAGGAGGATAAGAAGTTCAAGGTCAGGCCTTGAATCATAGTCTAGTTAGTATATTTGCATTCTTAGTGATCCCTGTAATGATGTGGTTACCAACGTATCTTTAATGAAATGCAATACAGTAACTAATTCACAGTGAACAGAAGAAAACTGCAAGCCCAAACACACATGATGCCTGCTCTATGCCCAGGGGCCTGCAGCTGCCCTTCAGGTCAGGGGAATCTCTAGGCAAAAGTGCTTTGTTAGTGGCTAGCATGGAGCCATCTCCTCACCCTGTACCACTGTGGCTTCTGCATCTCCTTTGGCTCCCGCTGGGTGGTAAGAATCAGACAGGCGCGAAGGGCAGCTACAGCTCCCTCACGGATGGCCTGCTTGGGGTCCCACACGGCCACAAAAATGTTGTCAAAGAAGGGCTGCACTTGCTGGAAGAAGAAGGTGGGAACACTGATGGCCAGCTCACGGAGAACCAGAACCTGGGAGAGAAGGGTAAACAGAATTCATGTTTGTACCAGTGTAGTTCTCTCGGGACACTCTCCCATCATCCTAGAGCCTATAACACAAGGGAAAATGAAGCCTTACCCTTCTAGCTGGGCCAGGAGAGGCAAAGGGAGACTGACCAAACCTCTTGGTGCTCACTAGAGGCTGTTACGAGCACAAAATGCTAGCACCATTTGAACACACGCTCTGGAAGGTATGTTTGATGCTTTCGGTAACACTAAATGACAGCCTAAAACCCAGGACAGTTGATAAGTACTTATTGGATGAATACACGTTATGTTCAACTTTGTTATTATTTTCATTTCAGAGATGATATTAAAGTTGCAAATAAGGCCAAGACTAAACCAGGGTTAATGTCTGTGCTATGTCCTCAAGCCAACTGGAAAGCACCTGGAGATGCTGTGATTCCCACTGCACCCACTCCCAGGTCCTCTTTTAAGAGACTGACTCGCCACACCTCATAGCCTACAACCCTGGACTACGAAACCAGCCTTTTCCAGGGACAAGCCTCAGAGGGAAACAAGGCACCCGATGCAGCAGTGTCCTCCACCCCAGTGGGGCTCCCTCCTGTAGGCACTCACAGCCGCATGTCTCCGGCCCTCATTGCGGTCAGCACCCAGCCATTCCAAAGCTCGCTTCACTTCAAACTCCACATACTCAGCGGTGAAAGTATCCCCTGCCATAGCAAGGCGGCCAATGGCCTTGGATGCCATTTCCATGACAACTGGGTCACTGGAGGGAAGGAGGTTCCGAAGGTAGTTGGCAAATCGGCCAATTCGGGTGGAATTCCCACCTTCCACTCCTATGAGACTCGCTGGAATAGAAAGTAAAAGGTGATTATGTGGTATGGTCTGGAACGCTGGAACCGAACACTGGTGAGTGATCCCTTCACTTCACACTGGATACATTTCTATAGGTAAGGAAGCAGTTTTTCATCTGAACCAGATTTGATGTTTGTGTCAGGACTACATACCTACAGCAAAATGACCTCATTTCAACATATATATTTCCTTTCCAGGGAAAAAAGGAAAACAAACTGAGGCTGAATAAGTCACAGCCTAGTGACCAGTCCTTGAATGAACAGCGCCTGTTTCTACTCTTTAAATTTTTTTTATTTTTAGTTTTTTTAAATGTATATGAATCTTTTGCATGTATGTATATAAATGTACCTGTGCCTACAATAACTGTGGAGGGCAGAGGAGGACATCAGGTCCCCTGCAACTGGAGTTACAGGCAGTTGTTAGGTGCCATGTGATACTGGGAATCAAACCTGGGTACTTGGAAGAGCAACCAGTGCTCTTAACCACTGAGCCATCTCTCCAGCCTGTTTCTACTTTGGCATTTGTGAACCTTACTGTGCCAAATCCTGCTCTCCTGTGAAGTCAGACCTGCCAAAGGCAACCCAGGTCAAAAGAAGGAAAAGCTGGCTTCTGGTTCTCAACCCTAGCAAACCACAGAAGTCACTTACCAGTCAGAGACTCAGTTCCCATATCTAAAAATACCTGTTTTGCCTGTGTTCCAGGACTATTTCTACAATTAGCACTTGTCTAAAGTACTGAAAGCTACAGGTTCCTTAAGAGTCTTTAAGCAGAGAGGAACTGGATGCTAGTCCTGTAGCAAGTGGCAGCCAGGGACATAGTGCACACAGGATGAGTTGTCCTCTTTTCCCATTTCTGTTGGCAGAGACTCTGTCCTTACCGATAGCCAGGATGCCACCTTTCCTCTCATTGGCATCTGAGCTGGAAACCAGTTCAAAAATGTGATGGTTCAGCTGATCATAGAAACGTGTAGACTCCTCCTGACTCATCTGAAAAGGAAGATGTATATAGAACAGTTTCTTGTAACCATCCCAATGGTGACAGCAGTGGTGGGTGGGCATCTTAAGATTAGGAACTGAGAAGCAGCAGGTACAGTTCAAACCAAAGACAAAGCTACAGCCCATTTCTACAGCACTAAAGTGCAGGGAAACTGAATGTGCGCCTCATCTGTCTATTGGGCAACTACTTACTAATTCTCTGCTCTATGGAGAAAAATTTTCTGTCTTAGATTCTTCTTCATATGAGTGGAACAAGATGAACAGGTCATTGTCCCTGACCTTAAGTGTGGTCTCTATTTAGAAAGCTCCAGCTATCAACTCTCCAGATTCATCCAGTCACTGCCATCAGAGAGAAAGAACTGAGGGCCTAGTAGGTAGGTGTAGGGGAAACAAAAAAATAAAAGCAACAGCAGAATCTAAGCCCAGTCCTAAAGTGTGACCATATAAGAGAAATATCACAGAAATGTGCAACTGCTGCAAAGGAGCCACATAGTCTATGGACAGGAAAAGCTGGGTATCTTCCTGAAACCTCTCATTCAGCTATTGCAGGAATCTAAACCAGTGATGACACATTAGCCCTGATCACACAAGACCAACCTCACGAAGCTCCATGGTGACATAGTGCTGGAGCTCCTTGGCGGCTTTGGCCCTGGTCTCCTCATTCCGGCTCTTCAGGCCACTGGCAAACTGCTGCAGAACACTCACATTGCTAGACGTGGTGGCGGTGGCAGCAGCCGCGGCAGGGCCAGTTCCAAGCATCTTGCCCTGAGGTTCTTTGGAGAGAATCATCTTTCAACATTCATTTCTTATACTTTTTAAAATAATCTGCTTATTTGTGTGCCCACATGCACACTACAGCACATGTGTGGAGGTCAGAGGCCAGCTTTCAGGAGTCAGTTCCTTCCTTCCTCCATGTGGGTACAGGGGAATCACACTCAGGTCACTAGCTTGGAAGCATGCACCTTTGTCCACTGAGTCATTGCTGACCAGTTTCTAAAAATAATTTTTGACACAGTTTTATATAGCCAGGATGGCCCTGAACTTCCAATCTTCCTGCGTCTACCTCACAGGTGCTAGGATTATAAATGGGTGCCACCACATCTGCTTTATTCAGTGCATGCTAGGCATACTCTGTGCATGCTAGGCAAGCACTCTACCAACTGAGCTACATTCCTAGCCTAATCTTTCAAAATCCAACTTATTTCTGGTTCTACCCCCTAACACAGACTTCCGCCCGGCTCAGGTAGGGGATTCTAAAAAGGCTAGGAGATCTTCCTGAAGAGCGTGTGGAAAGTCTATATTCATTCAACGACCAATGTTAAAAAGACTCAGTGCGAGTCAAGCATGGTGGTTCACACCTGTAATGCCAGCACTCAGGAGGCAGAGGCAGGATGAAAGAGTTCGAGGTTAGCCTGGACTACACATATCAAGCTCCAGGCAAGCCAGGGCTATACAGTGAGACGCTAAAATTTAAAAAAAAAAAAAAAAAAAAAAAAAAAAAAAATGACAAAGGGGGCACTCTTTTTTAATCTTAACACCCAGGAGGCTGTGAAATGTATGCATGCATGTGAATTAAAAAAAAAAAAAAAAGAAAAAAAAAAAAAGCTGAGCATGGTGGCACCCATCTTTAATCTTAGCACCCAGGAGGCAGAGGCAGGCGGAGCTCTGTGAGATCAAGGCCAGCTTGGTCTCCATTTTGAGTTCCGGGACAGCTGGGGCTACAGGGAGATCCTGTCTCAAAAGAGCAAAAAAGAAAAGAAAAAGAAAAAAAAAGAAAAAAAAAGAAAAGCTATACACCTTGAAGAAGACACTTAAATGCCTCAACTTCCTCAGCTACAATAGAAGGGTCATAGTACCTAACTTGAGGGTTGAGGTGAGGAATAACACGTTTAAAAGTATTTCCAGCAATACTGGGCACACAGTAAGTTCTTAATCATTGTAAGCTATCAGTTATAACTATCATGTATATGGCCTAGTACCAGCTACCAGATATAGGGAGATAGGGAGAGAATTAAGAGGGAGACTGGTTACTGTTCAATAGAAGTACAACACAAACCACATAAGTTCATAAAATAAATTTGCTAGTAGGCATAATAAAGATGGAAAGAAACTGGCTGAGACTGATATATTGTACTTAATCCAATAATCCAAAATAATCATCTCAGTCTGTTACGGACATAAAAAAATTGATACCTCCACCACTTTTATGGTACAGAGCCTCCAAAATCTAGCGTGCATTTTACACTTCTGTCTCAGCCTGAATCAGCTGCTGGTTATTGTGCAGTGCAGTTCTACAGTGTAGTAGTGTAGCTGCCCCTTCCAGCCATGGGATCTGCACCTGTAGACTCAGCCAGATGAGAACAAAAAGTACTAGGGGAAGAGGGAAAGAGGGCTCAGTGGGAAAAGGAGCTTGCCATCAAGCCTGATAGCTGAGATCACTGATCTCCAACACCCACAGGGTCAAAGACAGAACCAATTCCTGGCACACAATACATAAATGTAAGTTGAAAGAAAATACTGCTGGGTGTGGTGACACATGCCTTTAATCCTAGCACCTGGGAGGTAGAGGCAGATGGATCTCTAGGAAATCAAGGCCAGTGTTGTCTATGTAGTCGAGTTCCAGGCCAGCTTGGGGGCACAGGGGGACCTCAAAAAAGAAAGAAAGAAATACTGGGGGGAGAAATCTGGACTGAAGATATCCAGGCTTATTTTCCTTGTTAACATTCACTAAACGTTACAATATAACATTTACATTGTATTTGACATCAAAAGTAACCTTCACATGATTTAAAGCATACAAAAGTCTATGTATACCTATATACATACAAGTATCATTTTATATAAAGCACAAGCTTTCACCAGCTTGGGAAGGGCAATCCTAGAACAAATCCCCCAGAAGACTATACTTCAAATGTGAGATGGCTCAGTGGTTAATAGTACCAGCTATTCTTGCAGAGGATCTAGGTTTGAGTCCCAGCACCCACATGGCTGCTAACAACCATCCCTAACTCCAGTTCCAAGGGAATCTGACACCTTCTTCTGACCTCTGTAGGCACTGCATACACTTACATGCATTTACATACATGCAGGGAGTACACTCACACACAAAATAAAAATAAAATACATATTTTTAAAAGGCCACACACAATGCCACGGAGTAACAGACAGCTACCCTGCTAGATTATACTAGGAAAACAATTCCTGAAAAAAAAAATCTTAGTTTTGAATAAGTTTGTGAGACACACAGGCTAGAACTCACAGAACCTTGGGTTTGGTCCCCAGCGAAGTGTGTGCATGAGCACACACACTTGGAATCCCAGCACTGTGGAGGAGGCAGGAAGGAGGATCAGGAGTTCAAGGTCATTCTCAGAAGCATGAAGAAACAAAAAACAAGGAACAAATGGCTTTGAAACCTTTCAAATACTCCACTGCTGAGAAAAATACTACAAAAGGAAATGGCTTTTAGGGAGGAAGAAACCACTACTACGTGTGTACACACAGGAGGGAGAAGGAGGCCGATAAGAAATTTCCACTCTTAGGAAAGAACCAGAGCGTCTTTTTAGTGTTGACCCACCAGCCAGCCGCCCCAGGTTAGATTCAATGTAACTACTTCAAAGGTCTTGGTAATGCACAGGGAAGTTCAAGTTGAAAGGTTGAACCGAGGGGGCGCGGGAGAGTTAGAGCCCCAGGGACAGAACAGAGTTCAGCTGGGGGCTAGGTCTCTAACAGATCCCCCACAGTGGGGTACAGGGGGTGGCGGGGTGCAGGTGGGGTGCAGAAGGCAGGTGGAGTGCAGGGGGCAGGTGGGATTTAGGAGGCAGATGGGGTGCAGGGGGCAGACGGGGTGCCCGACGGGGTGCCAGCAGGCTGCGGGGTGCAGGGGGCGGGCGCTGCTCGGGACAGGCTCCACCCTCTGTGGGTGGGCTCAGGAGGGTGACTGCGAAGGGGAAGGAGACCTAAAGGCACCTCGGCCGGCCCGTGGGGTCTCTCGGAGGGCTTGGGGGTACCCGGAGGACGGGGTGCCGACCTAGTACTCAGACGGCGCCCAAGTCGCGGGGCGGGTGCTGAGAGGACTCCACGTTCCAGACGGGCGGCTTCCCGGGCCTCCCCCAGCACCGACCGGGCGGGCCGCGAGTCTGGACGTCCCGCCGACTGGAAGCGCTCGGCGTCAGGCCCCAGACTCACCGCGCGGCTTCGGCCAACGCCACAGCTACCGCCGCGAGAGCCAGGACCGCCGCTTCGGGCCCCTTGCCCCACCACACGCCTTCCCGGCTGTCCTCTAGGTGGGGGCGGGAGGGAGGGCGGGCTCTCGAGCCTCAGGACCAATCAACAAGCTTTTCAGGAAGACGGACTGGGACATACACCAATAGGCACGAAGAAGAAGGGCTGCTCCGTGGACCGGCTTCTCCCGAGGGGCGGGGATTGTTCAAATAGACAAACCGCGCGGCCAGTGACAGGTGAAAGGAGGCTTAGGTGCATTCCTGAGAGCCAATCAGCCGCGAGTTGACGCCAGTCCCTTCCACGCACACATCCGGTGCGTCGCTACTATGCTTCCCCGCGGTACCCTGGCGGTGGCTCTCAGGAGTCCGCTGTCTGGGTACCTCGGGGACCTAGTCGAGCGCGGTGGGTGGAGGTTGGTGACTGCACCGGGTGTGAGTCACCGGCGCCCTCCAACCACCGCAGATGTGCAGTGTGGGGACCAGCTTCACTTAGAGACATGTGTTTTCTCTTTTGTAAAGTTTCATATGTATTTAAACATGTTTTTAGTTCTCTCTGTCCCCAAATTGCTTTACTAGTTAGGTCATGTGAAATAATATTGGTTATTTAAACTCTGTGTATGTTGTGCATGTTGATTTTTTTCTTTTGTTTGGGCCTCTGCACAAGCAAATGAATCTATTCAACCTGTCAAAAATCATTACTTGAAAGCATTTGCTATGCTTGGATTTGCTCTACGTATTAAGACTGATAATGGCCCCGCTTGTAGTAAAGCTTTTCAAAACTTGTCAAGCATGGGACTTTTACATATAATTGGCATTCCATGTAGCCCTCAAAGACAGGTAATAATGAAACCTACTCCTCATTGACTAAAATTTCAACTTAAGAAACAAAAGGGGGATGTGTTAGTCACTTTTCTGTTGGTTGTTGCGATAGAAAAACTGACCCAGGCAATTTATAGAAGGAAGAATTTATTTGAGCTTACGGTTCTAGGGGAATTACAGTCCGTCGTGGCAGGGAGGCATGGTGGCTGGAGGTGGCTGGAGGTGGCAGGATGTGGCTGGAGCAGGAGCAGAAGAAGCGAAGCTCTCACATCAGCGTGCAGGCACTGGAAGCAAGAGAACAACTGGCGATCTGGCAAGGCTTAAGAACTCTCTAAGCCCACCCCCAGTGACCAGCTTCCTCCAGGATAGCCACACCTTCTAAAACCTCCCAAAACTGTGCCATCATCTGGGGACAAAATGTCCAAATACTTGGAGCCTATGGGGAACATCTTCATTCAAACCACCTCAGGGGAACAAGAGGATTTCCCCTCTCCCTCTAGGCTTCTTAAGCCCCACTTTAAATTTTTTCACACGCAATGATGGGGAGAGGGGTGGCTCCAATGGCGTGTCATGTCCACCACATGTTACCAGCCAGGGACATGAATATGGGCCACTGCTGAGTACTGAATGAAAATTGGTGGCTGCCCTACAAAAACCCTTCAAAAAGCAGATCATACATGTACTGGTAATAATGGAGTTAAAATGAGTGTGTATAACAGAACCAGCTGGGTTTTTAGGCTTGCATATTTGCTCCCTATGTGTGTATGATGGGAGACAATATTCAAATCCTACACAAATCAATATATTATGATCGGGTATCAACCTTCTGCAATTTGGATACCTGTAAGTCTTACTAAACAGTGGGAAGAAACCTCTATTTACAGATTTTGCATCCTGAATTTCAAAAGGTGCTACCACAAGGAAAGTGAGCCATGGGTGGTGGTGGTGTTTTCCTACTTATCAGAACAGTTACATCTGTGGCCATGTTAACTGTAGCCCTATCTCAAGAAGTTCAGACTCATACTTTTGTAAACAATCTTATTCAAAATTCTTCTCAACTATGGTATGTTCAGCATGCTTTAGATCTAGCATTTTGAGATGAAGTAGCTAATCTAAATAATGCAGTATTTTGAATGGGTAAAGAATTAGAAAATATCCATACCCAAATGGCACTGTCATTATAATGTTGCCACTTGCTGTATTGCTCCCCCAAAATATAACAGTAGATTTTGTTTGGGATAACATTAAAGCCCATGTTTCGGAAGCCTGGGAAAAAAATACAGCTTTTGAATATTACCTCTAGTGATCAAAATCATTGGAAGTATAGTGCCTGAATTTCAAACCTTCGATCCCAAAACATGGTTCAAAAATTTAAAAATAAAAAATGCTTTTCTCATTGTGACTATAACTGTGCATTCCTTAGACCCCTCTTTCCTTTCCTTGCAGACTAAAGAGCTGGATTAAACAATAAAAGATAAACGAAGAGGGGCTGGAGAGATGACTCAGAAGTTAAGGGCACTGGCTGCTCTTGCAGAGGATCCAGGTTTGATCCCCACCACCCACATGGTGGCTAACAACCATCTGTAATTACAGTTCCAGGGGACCCAACACCCTCTTCTGGCCTCTGCAGGCAATGCATGACATGGGCACACTTACATACATACAGGCAATACACTTATACACGTAAAATAAAAATAATAGAATATTTTTTTAAAAAGATAAAGATTTCTGCAACCGAAACTGACCATAGATATCCTCATGCAATAATTAAATAAAAAGAAAAAGGGAGATGTTGGAGACCACTGATTTACCTGAACTGATGTTGGAGACTCTGTTTTACACAAACTGCTGAAAGCATGCTTGACCATGGGCAACGGCCCCTCTGGTCAAGAATAACTGTGACAAAGCTACATAGGCATGTGTTCTTAGACAGACAAAGGAACACAGCATCCCCACCCCAAATTACATAAGGAAATAATGCTCTGACCACTGGCTCTGGTCACAATGCCCTGTTACGCTTAGCTAGTCTTTATTGTAGTAGACAGATTCTTTGCTTTAAAATAACATACCTAGAAGTCTTGAGGAAATTTTCTCAAGCCTACACTAAAAGTCACACTGTTTGCCCTGCCTATGTAAAAATTAAAGCAATAAATACACAGTGGAACAAGAGCTCGTGGCCTCTGTTCCCTCAGCAGTGAGCCTCCTGGTCCCCCCTCTTGAGGTTCTAGTTAAGTGTTGTGTCTTTCCTTCATGTAGCACCATCTCTCTTTGAGGATTCTCTGAACCCCCACCATGCTAGATGTAGCACTGGCTGGCCTTGAACTTGCTATTTTCAAACTTGCTGTGATCTTTCTGCTTCTGTCTCTCTGCCCCTGACCCACTCAGTGCTGGGATTACAGGCATTCATTACCATGCCCAGCCTCAATATCTGTATTTTTAATTATTAAAACATGTCTAGGTCTCAGCATTTGGGAGGCAGAGACAGGCTGATCACAATGAGTTTGAGCCTAGCCAGGTTCACATAGTAAGTTCCGGGTCAGCCAGGGATGCATAGTGAGACCTTGTCTCAAAATTTTCTAGAGAAGCCAAGTCAGAAGCAGACATCTAAAATCCTAGCACTTGGGCAGCTGAAGCAGGAGGATCTTGAGTTCCAGGCTACATTTGAATCCATCTCAAAAAGCAAAATAGGGCCAGTGAGATACCTCAGGGGTAAAGGCACATGCCACCAAGCCTGAGGCCCCGAGTTCAGACCCTGGGACCTGCATGGTAGAAGGAGAGAACTGACTCCAGCACACTGTCCTCTGACCTACTGCCATGGTGTACCACCCCACCCCACGAAATAAATAAATGTAAAAAGAAAAGTAAAATAACATTAAATTAAAATATGAAATTTAAAATAAAGGGTTAGAGAGATGGCCTATCACTTAAGAGCACTTGGTGCTCTTGCAAAGGACCTGGATTCAGTTCTCAGTGTCCATATTAGGTGGCTTGCAACTGCCTATAACTCCAGTCCCAGGGGATCCAACACCCTCTTCTAGCCTCTGCATGAATTGGCAAACAGGTGATGCACATACATACACATAAATAAGGATCAGGCACACATACATACACATAAATAAGTAAATTTTCAAAATTAAAAAAAAAAGGAACAGGCCTGGCTTGGTAGTACATGCCTTTTAATCCCAGTACTCAAGAGGCACAGGCAGGCAGGTCTCTGTGAGTTCAAGGCCAGGCTGGTCTACAGAGTGAGTTCCAGGCCAGCTGGGCTATAAGAAAACCCTGTCTAAAAAAAACTGGGGACTGGAGAGATGGCTCAGCAGTTAAGAGCACTGGCTGCTCTTGCAGAGGACCTGGGTTCGATTCCCAGCACCCAAATGGCAGCTAACAACCATCTGTGACTCCAGTTCCAGGTGGTGGTCCAACGCCCTCTTCTGACCACAGGCATTGCACAACACAGGTGCACTTAATACACATGCAGGCAATACACTCATACACATAAGTAAAAATAATAAATAATTTTTTTAGTTGTAGGGAGGGCCAGGGAGAAGGCTTAGCTGCTTGAAAACTCAAGTCCGATCTCCAGAACCCATATAAAGGTGGAAAGGCACTCAACAAAGTTGTCTTCTGACCTCCAGAGTCATACCCTGGTGTGCACAACCCCGTACACACCACACATACGTAAACATATAAAATAAAATAAAACATTTTAATGTAGGGCTGGGGATACAGCTTAGCATGCAAGGAGCCCTAGGTTTGATCCCCAGCACCATATGAAGCCATGTGTGTTTTTCTACACCTGTAATCCCAGCACTCAGGGAGGAGGAAGTCATTCAAGGTGGGGGCAGAAATTCGAGGTCATCCTTGGCTATATTGCCAGTTCCAAGCCATCCTGAGCTACATCCTGAGATAGGGATCCTATCTGAAAGAAAAAAAAAATAGTGTGTCTAGGAGGTCTTTCCATCTTAGTACACACAATGCTTCCTTGTTCTTTTTATTATACCTATGTATATTCCCTCACATTATACCGTAATTTATTCTCCCAACCCTGTTTATGGACACTTAATTTTTTCTTTTCTTCCTTTTCTCCCCTCT